ATTCAAGGCCCGATTTGCCTAATAAGCCAAGTTTTCATGAATTAATGTTTTTTCGTCTACCTAACCTACCTAACCTAACTTAACCTAGCTTTTTTTGCCTACCTAACCTAACCTTACCTATAAATATAGGTTAGGTTAGGTTAGGTAGGGTTGGTTAGGTTCGGTCATATATCTACGTTAATTTTAACTCCAATAAAAAAAAATTGACCTCATACATAGAGAAAAGGGTTGCTTTATCATTTCATAAGAAAAAAATTATAGTAAATATATTAATTCAGGAAAACTTGGCTTATTAGGCAAATCAGCCCTTGAATAGTAGGCTGAGAAGTGAGTTCTGGCTACTAGGTACGACATATATATATATATAATATATATATATTATACACAGAAACTGTATTGGAGGGGATCTAAACATTCCCTCTAATGCGTTATGCGTGGTTTCCTCCGAGGCTATGGGTCCCCCTTCTTCCAGCTAGAGGTGGTACTCCCCCCCAATATATATATATATATATATATATATATATATATATATATATATATATATATATATATATATATATATATATATATATATATATATATATATATATATATATATGTCGTACCTAGTAGCCAGAACTCACTTCTCAGCCTACTATTCAAGGGCTGATTTGCCTAATAAGCCAAGTTTTCCTGAATTAATTGTTTTTCGACTACCTAACCTACCTAACCTAAGCTAACCTATCTTTTTCAGCTACCTAACCTAACCTAACCAATAAAGATAGGTTAGGTTAGGTTAGGTAGGGTTGGTTAGGTTCGATCATATATCTACATTAATTTTAACTCCAATAAAAAAAAATTGACCTCATACATAATGAAATGGGTAGCTTTATCATTTCATAAGAAAAAAATTAGAGAAAATATATTAATTCAGGAAAACTTAGCTTATTAGGCAAATCGGGCCTTGCATAGTAGGCCAAAAAGTGCGTTCTGGCTACTAGGTACGACATATATATATATATATATATATATATATATATATATATATATGTCGTACCTAGTAGCCAGAACACACCTTTCAGCCTACTGTGCAAGGCCCAATTTGCCTAATAAGCCAAGTTTTCCTAAATTATTATATTTTCTCTAATTTTTTTCTTATGAAACGATAAAGCTACCCATTTCGTTATCTTTGAGGTCAATTTTTTTTATTGGAGTTAAAATTAACGTAGATATATGACCGAACCTAACCAACCCTACCTAACCTAACCTAACCTATCTTTATAGGTTAGGTTAGGTTAGGTAGCCGAAAAAGTTAGGTTAGGTTAGGTTAGGTAGGTTAGGTAGTCGAAAAACAATTAATTCATGAAAACTTGGCTTATTAGGCAAATCGGCCTTGCATAGTAGGCTGAGAAGTGCGTTCTGGCTACTAGGTACGACATATATATATATATATATATATATATATATATATATATATGTCGTACCTAGTAGCCAGAACGCACTTCTCAGCCTACTATGCAAGGCCCGATTTGCCTTATAAGCCAAGTTTTCATGAATTAATGTTTTTTCGACTACCTAACCTACCTAACCTAACCTAACCTAACTTTTTCAGTTATCTAACCTAACCTAACCTATAAAGATAGGTTAGGTTAGGTTAGGTAGGGTTGGTTAGGTTCGGTCATATATCTGCGGTAATTTTAACTCCAATAAAAAAAATTGATCTCATTCATAATGAAATGGGTAGCTTTATCATTTCATCAGAAAAAAATTAGAGAAAATATATTAATTCAGGAAAACTTGGCTTATTAGGCAAATTGGGCCTTGCATAGTAGGCTGAGAAGTGCGTTCTGGCTACTAGGTACGACATATATATATATATATATATATATATATATATATATATATATATATATATATATATATATATATATATATAATGTCGTACCTAGTAGCCAGAACGCACTTCTCAGCCTACTATGCAACTACACTTGCGTTTCAACTTTAGCCAATACCTATGTTGACTTCAGTGCTACACAAGTAGGAGGAGCTGCCAATCACCGGGAAGCGGCTAAGTCACGTAAATACTGAGACCTTGAGCACCACTACAATTTTGTCCCCATTGCCTCAGAGACACTTGGTGCCTGGGGTAAAAGTGCTGTTAGCTTTTTGAAGGAGTTGGGGTCTAAGCTAATCAAAACAACTAGAGACCCTAGAGCTGCCAGTTTTCTTTTTCAGCGCCTTTGTGTGGCAATCCAGAGAGGAAATGCTCACTGCATCCACGGTTCCTGCCCGCCATCTGAGGAGCTGGAGGAGCTTTTCAACTTGTGACAAGCAGCCTTGTACCCTGCATGTAATCAATATTGTAACTTTTTTTGTGTAATGACATTTTCAAATAAAGTTAGATAAATATACACACATACCAAAAGAATAGGGGTGGTAGGAGAAGAAAATATCAAGGTGTTCAGTGAGGATCCACAAAGTCTTCTCTGAGTGCTCTTTATTTTCTTCTCCGAGGCTATGGGTCCCTACACTTGCACCAGAGGTGGTACCCCTTCTAGGTTTTATATATATATATATATATATATATATATATATATATATATATATATATATATATATATATATATATATATATATATATATATATGTCGTACCTAGTAGCCAGAACTCACTTCTTAGCCTACTATTCAAGGCCCGATTTGCCTAATAAGCCAAGTTTTCCTGAATTAATATATTTACTATAATTTTTTCTTATGAAATGATAAAGCAACCCTTTTCTCTATGTATGAGGTCAATTTTTTTTATTGGAGTTAAAATTAACGTAGATATATGACCGAACCTAACAAACCCTACCTAACCTAACCTAACCTATATTTATAGGTAAGGTTAGGTTAGGTAGCCAAAAAAAGCTAGGTTAGGTTAGGTTAGGTAGGTTAGGTAGACGAAAAAATATTAATTCATGAAAACTTGGCTTATTAGGCAAATCGGGCCTTGAATAGTAGGCTGAGAAGTGCGTTCTGGCTATTAGGTACGACATATATATATATATATATGTCGTACCTAGTAGCCAGAACGTACTTCTCGGCCTACTATGCAAGGCCCAATTTGCCTAATAAGCCAAGTTTTCATGAATTAATTATTTTTCGACTACCTAACCTACCTAACCTAACCTAACTTTTTCGGGTACCTAACCTAACCTAACCTATAAAGATAGGTTAGGTTAGGTTAGGTAGGGTTGGTTAGGTTCGGTCATATATCTACGTTAATTTTAACTCCAATAAAATATAATTTACCTCATACATAATGAAATGGGTAGCTTTATCATTTCATAAGAAAAAAATAGAGAAAATATATTAATTCAGGAAAACTTGGCTTATTAGGCAAATCGGGCCTTGCATAGTAGGCCGAGAACGATGTTCTGGCTACTAGGTACAACATATATATATATATATATATATATATATATATATATATATATATATATGTCGTACCTAGTAGCCAGAACGCACTTATCAGCCTACTATGCAAGGCCCGATTTGCCTAATAAGCCAAGTTTTTATGAATTAATTGTTTTTCGACTACCTAACCTACCTAACCTAACCTAACCTAGCTTTCTCGGCTACCTAACCTAACCTAACCTATAAAGATAGGTTAGGTTAGGTTAGGTAGGGTTGGTTAGGTTCGGTTATATATCTACATTAATTTTAACTCCAAATAAAAAAAAAATTCACCTCATACATAATGAAATGGGTAGCTTTATCATTTCATAAGAAAAAAAATAGAGAAAATATATTAATTTAGGAAAACTTGGCTTATTAGGCAAATCGGGCCTTGCATAGTAGGCTGATAAGTGCGTTCTGGCTACTAGGTACGACATATATATATATATATATATGTCGTACCTAATAGCCAGAACGCACTTCTCAGCCTACTATTCAAGGCCCGATTTGCCTAATAAGCCAAGTTTTCATGAATTAATGTTTTTTCGTCTACCTAACCAACCTAACCTAACCTAACCTAGCTTTTTTTGGCTACCTAACCTAACCTTACCTATAAATATAGGTTAGGTTAGGTTAGGTAGGGTTGGTTAGGTTCGGTCATATATCTATGTTAATTTTAACTCCAATAAAAAAAAATTGACCTCATACATAGAGAAAAGGGTTGCTTTATCATTTCATAAGAAAAAAAATATAGTAAATATATTAATTCAGGAAAACTTGGCTTATTAGGCAAATCGGGCCTTGAATAGTAGGCTGAGAAGTGAGTTCTGGCTACTAGGTACGACATATATATATATATATATATATATATATATATATATATACATATGTATGTCGTACCTAGTAGCCAGAACTCACTTCTCAGCCTACTATTCAAGGCCCGATTTGCCTAATAAGCCAAGTTTTCCCGAATTAATATATTTACTATAATTTTTTTCTTATGAAATGATAAAGCAACCCTTTTCTCTATGTATGAGGTCAATTTTTTTTTATTGGAGTTAAAATTAACGTAGATATATGACCGAACCTAACCAACCCTACCTAACCTAACCTAACCTATATTTATAGGTAAGGTTAGGTTAGGTAGCCAAAAAAGCTAGGTTAGGTTAGGTTAGGTAGGTTAGATAGACGAAAAAACATTAATTCATGAAAACTTGGCTTATTAGGCAAATCGGGCCTTGAATAGTAGGCTGAGAAGTGCGTTCTGGCTATTAGGTACGACATATATATATATATATATATATATATATATATATATATATATATATATATATATATATATATATATATATATATATATATATCGTACCTAATAGCCAGAACGCACTACTCGGCCTATTATGCAAGGCACAATTTGCCTAATAGGCAGAGGTATTTTCAGTATTTTAAAAACAAATTCCAATTGGTTTATTGAAATTTATATTATATTAAGAACATGAATTATTAAACTAACATTACCAAGTATGTGATTAAAACTTGGTTATAATTCAACTAATCATTATAATGCTCTTATATTGCCAGGGTGACCATGGCCAAGGACTGTGCTGAACTGTACTGCCGGGGAGTGAGGCTGAATGGCGTCTACTTTATCAAACCTGACAGGTAATATTATATCATCCAAACCATGCCAGCCTAACTGTCCAGGTTTAGCCAGGTTAACTATACAGGTCGTGTCAGGCTAACTATCCAGGTCGTGCCAGGATAACTATCCAGGTCGTGCCTGGATAACTATCCAGGTCGTGCCAGGCTAACTATCCAGATCTTAATTGGTTAATTATCCAGGTCGTGCCAGGTTAAATATCCAGGTCATGTCAGGCTATTTATCCAGGTCGTGCCAGGTTAATTATCCAGGTCGTTCCAGTTTGATTATTCAGGTCGTGTCTGGTTAATTATCCAGGTCGTATTTTCCACCATTGGCTGATCAGGCTCTGTCACCTTGTGTTGGGGTGGGTGGGGAGGTTTCCCTGCCGCCTGCTGATCCAGGGTTGTTACTGGGTTCCTCGGCTGGTGGGACCGGGTTTACGGGTGGTGGTGTCCGCGACGGGGTGGTGGGGTGTGCGGCTCTGTCCCCGCAGACGGCCTCTTTGCTTCTGACGGTTTCTGTACCTGTACCCGTCTCTTCTCCTCTGCTGCATCCGCTGGTCTCCTTCGTGGGTGGCGGTTTCGTCCCCTGCGTCGTTGAGGCTGACATTCTGGGTGGTCGTGCTCCTCCAGCTTTGGGGAAGACTACTGATGGTTCTTCTCGGGCACCACCTGCGGGGGGTTGACAGCTCCGACGATCAATGGTCTGTCCCTAAGTGCTCTCTTATGGATAACTATGCGTCGCCTCCTCGGGCATGGGCTGACGAGCGTGACAATGTGGTTGACGAGGCTGTTAGGTGGCTCTGCGTTGCCTCCTGTGTCAGACCCTGCACCTCCAATTGGTGGCTCCCATCAGTGGGCGGTTGTCCTTGTTGTTTGCGACCTCATAGTGGTGTTAACGAAAGATGTGAGCCGGGGGGAAGGGGGGGCCCCTGCTCCTATTCCCGGTGGTGGGGGACCTGGCGTATCTTAAGCTCCCCCCCCCCATTGCTGGGCTCTGTGCGGTGACCGACGTGGGACCTGGTGCGCAAGCTGATGTGCGGCCTTGTTCGCTGTCCGGTGTGCTTCCACATGCGCAGCCCTGTGAACGCCCCCCCCTGGGAGGAAACCCATCCCTCCCTCTCATCCTCCCGTCCGAGGTGTATGATGGGTCTCATCCTTTAGAATGTGGCTTTGATGACCTAGTGCAGCCTGTTCCGTTGACCTCTTCTTCCATTTGGGTTCCGCGGGCGCAGAGTTTTATCATTGCGGTGCGGGATTCAATGCCTCGGCCTTGTGCGGCTCCTGGTCATCCAGTCTCTGATGACGACCCATTTGTTCTGAAGGCTTATTGTTTACGTTTTCTGGTGTAGGAGTACCTGGATAAGTATGAGTAGTCCGTGTGGTTTGTTTGTTTGTGTTTTAGTTTGCATGTTTGTCTTTGTAATGCTTGGTGCTTGCTCTTGCGTGTGTGTGTGTGTGTGTGTGTGTGTGTGTGTGTGTGTGTGTGTGTGTGTGTGTGTGTGTGTGTGTGTGTGTGTGTGTGTGTGTGTGATTTTGTTTCCCAGTGCCTGTGTGCACGGGAGAGAGTCATTGTGTGTGTGGTGTGGGTGTTTATTTTTAACTCCTCCGTGGACCTGTTCCAATATGTGTTTTTATGTTCTGTTCTGCATCTGTGTATGGGATGAAGGGCTGGGTTTGCTTGTGTGTTATCTTTACGTATTTCTGTCCTTCCGGTTTTCTGGGTGTTGTTATGTTTTATGTTTTCTTTCGTGTGCTGTTTTTGTCACGTTCTGTTTTTTGTCATGTATCTTGTGCCCGTTTAGGGCTTTTCTGTTTTGTGCTTTGTGTCATGTGTATTTCATTCTTGGTTATTCTTGTGTATGTTTGGTATGCTTTCATGTATTATTTAATTCATATGTTTGTCCTGTGTGTATTCATGTTTTGTTTCTTCTGATGTTGCCTGGTTTGTTCTAGTACATTGTGTTTTTCTTTTATAAATAAAAAATAATGTGAACCGACAACCGCACACAGGGTAGTGATAGCCAGTGTGAACACGGGGGGCGTGACACACGTGGTGGGATGGTACGGCTTAAGAACATAAGAACAAAGGCAACTGCAGAAGGCCTATTGGCCCATACGAGGCAGCTCCTATTTATAACCACCCAATCCGACTCATATACTTGTCCAACCCGCGCTTGAAACAATCGAGGGACCCCACCTCCAGCACGTTACGCGGTAATTGGTTCCACAAATCAACAACCCTGTTACTGAACCAGTATTTACCCAAGTCTTTCCTAAATCTAAACTTATCCAATTTATACCCATTGTTTCGTGTTCTGTCTTGTGTTGAAGACGGGCTTTGAGTGGCAAAGCCCGTAAGTCCACAAAATAGCCCTAAATATACTTATCTCACTCAGAGAAATTAACAGCACACTGTGGGAATCAATGCTTTCTCGCTCCAGATTACTCTCGAAGCAATAGGCTAAAGGATGTTGACAATAAACACAGATTTAACACTGGCAGTCTCGTTGCTTCTGCTTAGAAATCACGTGGGTGAGCACTTGACTTTCTCATTTTAGCACTCGCCTATAATTAATTTGCAAATACTGCATATTGGTTTCTGTTGGTGGGACGCACTAGATGAAATTTGTGACGAGTCTTCAATTAACGTCGCAAAAGTCGGAAAGTTTAGCTGTTGGCCGATAACTTCGAAATTCACGTCTACCTCAAACAAACAACAATTTCAGAATAACGAGGTAGGCATGAGGCGGCATACTCAAGGCGGTGGCTCTCACACGTCCTCCAATGAGGGAGTGTGAGAAAAGGAAAAGAACCAATGAGGCTCTAGGTACTATGGTCTAGCCAATCACGAGCAGCCTCACGGGTTGGTGCGGCGCTATGCCGTTACGTCATTATTATTTCACGGAAGAGGCATAGATATTTACATGGCAGTTGGGAATAGCTTGCCCTTCCAGACCACAGGTATCAAAATACTACACACTATTTCTGGATTTTTCATCCCCTGGAGTTAACTAGCTATTATTCTACTTCACCTTGCTGTAATTACTGAATGGTGCCACACACACGACGGCCATCGCTGTAGCAATGAGATCATTTTGACCCGAACTGTCAAAGGATACCCAACAAGGCATAATTTAGTTTCTTATCAACCCAACTCGACTTGGTGCACATAGTCTTGTGCACTCATGAGAGTAAACTGAGGCTTGTGCACTCTTTTACACACATTAAAACAGATGGTCAGGTCTATCTCTCACAACGAATGACTGGGCAAGTGACTAAATGTGATTAACTCAACAGTAACTCATACTGAGTTAATGGCTCAGTATGAGTGATTCAGTTTTAATGATGCAACATGAGTGACTCAGTATGAAGGACTCAGATGTGTTACTCAAATAATCAGTATCAGACTCGGTGTAAGTGACCTGTATCAGTGAGAGAGTTTGGGTGACTTGGTATGTGCGACTCAGTATGATTGACAAATGAGTGACTCAGTATGCGTAATGGCACATACGATTAATGCGACAAATATAATTTTTTTGAAAGATAATGACAAAAATCAGATATACCTGTGTTACGGCCCTAATGGGACGCAACCGGGTTCTTTTCTGATGGTATTAAAGTTAGGGTATCCGGGCCCCAAGTTAGTAGAGGCTTTCAAGGGGTGAGCTCTAATGCAAGTAAAATAAACAGGGGAGGTACATTAAATACACAAGTTTATCACTTTCTATATATATATATATATATATATATATATATATATATATATATATATATATATATATATATATATATATATATATATATATTTCTTTTCCCACCACCATATATAAATTAAAATTCACAAACGGGAAATATTACTACACAATATATATCTTCGTCGCCCTCTGAAGACGCTGGACACTTGGCAACGCTCACTCCGTGCAGCCGTGCCTGGTTTCCTATTCCGTGGCACAACCCTCTGCAGGTACCGAGAAACCACGATGAATCTACCCTGGCCACAGGCCAACCAAATCACAATCCCACTGGATGCCCCGTCATGAAGGCCCACAATCACAGTCCAGCCTGTAGCTGGCAGGTACCAATCAGCCTCGCTGTTAGGCTACTTCACGACGAATACTAGGGTTGCGAGCCCTAGGCAGGAGCCTCGTGTAACTTGCTGGTTACTCTCCTCGGTCGGCACCGCAGTTGGTTGTCTCTTCCAACAGCCAGCCCCAGGTACAGCGAATCCTGTCACTGTCACTCCTCAGGCAGACAATTGAACACTCAGTAGTGCTCATCCGGTGGCGGCTCACTGCTTCTACAAAGCAGACTGGTGAAGAGACCTTGGCTATCTTGGGTAGACTGATTCGTCGTACATCACAGCCATCCTAGGTTGACTCTGTGAAAACAGACACGTCATCAGTACTGGGACACTACATGGGAACCACTAGGACATATCACTTACAGGCTAAGCCACAAACGTACAGCTTTTAGCTCAGTAGATGGCGCTGATGTTCTGAGCGCCACCTCACTAGAGGTCAGCACCGGCTACCTCACGAGCTACCAGGACAAGAATCTAGCATGTCCAGCTGGCATATTCCTGCCATCACTAGATGGCGTCGTCCATTTCATGGGGGTTTTGGGAGCGGACTCACAGATGGCGATGACGTCACTGCTCCGTGCTCCGACGATGGACTCGGGTTCGTAACAACCTGTGATATCAATCACAGGTATACATCTGTGATTTCAATCAATCACAGGTATACATCTGTGATTTCGATCAATCACAGGTATGAACAGGTATTTTATATCAATCACAGGTATACATCTGTGATTTCAATCACAGAAGAAAATATTTGCAGGTATTATGCAAAAGGACAGTGCAGATATGGGCCCAGAGGCACGGAATGCATATTCATGCACCCACGGAAATGCCGAAACTGGTTAGGGAAAGGCAAATGTTGTTTTGATACAGTGTGTAGATATTTTCACCCTAAGCTATGCAAACTCTCAATTAATAATGAGAGGAAATGCTACGA